GGTGCACTGCTCTAAGCTGGGCAGGAGTACGACTGACCAAAGCAGAGCTAACTGTCCCCTCTGAAATCTTGAGGAGGACAAACACCTTTCTTGGGGTTACTGTCCTCTAGGGACTGCACTCACTTGTGGAAATACAAGTCCTGGGAAGATCTAAGTAAAGAAATTAAGAGGATGCTCTGAATTTGCATTTTAAACGTTTTTCCCATGTGATACTATAGAAATACAATGGAAGGAAAATTGGCAAACACTATACATACGCTGTGCTCCAAAATGACTGGCAGAGCACGATGAGAACACTACTGCTGGACTGAATCAGAGAATGCATTAGAAAATGTGTGAGTAGGATACTGATATATATAAACTCGACCTTCCCTGATGGAATTAAAAAAGTTATACCTGTAATTATGGCTCACCCCTATTGCCATCAGACCAGCCACAGAGCTCAACAGGCCAGCTTTGTACCTGAGTTCAAAGCCAGGATGATGTTGCCTTATTTTCCTACTAAAATCATCTTTATCCTCTCTTGCCCTTCTTCTCAGTTAACAAGAGTTATGTACTGAAAGTGCTGAGATAAAGTAATGGTAAGGAGGATACTGCAAAAGGTATTTGAAAAGCAGAAGTAATTTACTACATGTCTGCTTTGTTTTACTTCCTAAGCCTTCCTGTTGTGAGAGGAAATTCATCTTTTCTGGCAGACTCCAGCCTTTCTAGGCCTGAGAGCTCCCCAGGAGCTTTCGAGTGCAGGTAAATGGATGTGAGACTCAAGGAGTACAGTGCAAGAACACAGAATTAATGTCGGTTTTTGCTTTGGTTGTCACATCTGACGTATAAGGAGAGTGCTATATCCTTGCTTGCAAGAAGTATCTAGATGTAAAAAACACAAGGCTGAGTCCTCTGCTCGTTACTGCGAGTTTGAAAAGTCAAGAATGGAAAGGTCATATTGCTGGTGGGTGAAGCAGATAGGACCTATGCCCATCAAGGTCTCCGTGTGAGACAGATGTCGGGGTGCTGGGAGCCCCCAGGGACCTTCTGAAGAAAGAGCTCGGAGGAAGGACTGTGGCTGGACAATAGGTGCAGCATGGATTCTGCACGCAGCGGAGACCCCAAGAGTAGGCACAGGGGAAGCATCCACTGCCTAATCTAAATAGCACACAGAGTGGTTTTGTCCTCTTCTGTTCTCCTGCCAGTTTGCACATATGTTCTGAGTATACAGCCTGCCCTCCAAAGACCACTTACAGGGGCAATCACAGGGAAGCAAAGCAGGAAGAAAGTATCCAAAAAGGGAATTTGTTCAAGAGAAAAAAATGGAGACAGATGTAGAGTGACTAGTCACGGCTGGCGGTAAATAACCCTCTGCCTGGAGTGCTCTCTATGAGGAGTTCACATGTTCCATTTCATATTTCCTTTCTAGGAAGTCAAATCTTTATTTTCCTGGCATTTGCTCCTTTTTTCTTTCCCTATATATTTTTCCCCTCTGTATGGTCTGAAATTGTTTTCTTCTTTTCCATTTCTTTTCTGCGCCGTGTTCTCTTTTAAGCGTGGCATTTCTCCAACCACCATGTGGGCCTCATTTCCCTGCACCGTCCCAGGCGATACCTTTTGCTGTACCCCTCTGTGCCATGAGCTCTGCCCTCTCCCTCTGTGCAGGCACAGTCATACAGAGCGCTCCACATTTGCTCCTGCATAATACTCCCCGCTTTTTCTCATGTGCACACCTCAGAATTAAGCAAATGCAACACACACAGACAGAATATTCATCCTCTCACTCCCATAAACCTGTCAAGGCGTATAGGCCAAGGAGCTATCTCTGCCTAAATCTAAATCCCCTGTGAGGAAGCAGTCTACTCAAAGGTAATAAAGCCAAAGGATATATTATTATCTTTGGTGTGAATCCTACTGGGCTGGGAGGTTGGCTGCTGGTTCCTCTCTCTGAACTTTCCCTCCCAGCCAGAACAGCCATCCCACAGACAAGTCTAAGCTTCCTTTCCTTGGTCTGATTTCCTCCTCCCGTTGTTTGGCTGGTAACCCAAAGGACAGGGTTTAATTATGGAGCTTGGAAACCTGGCTTACACTGCTCTGCCAGCACAGGACAAAACATCAGCCTGCCTTCATAACCAGCATCGTTGTGCACCATTGATACATGCCTTATCCCACACAGCGTAAAGAGAACCGCACGGAAGAGAAGCCAAAGGAAACAAAAAGCTGGTTTTAGTTTTTAGACTTTTGAGAATTTCACTGAGAAAAAGCAAAACACAGAAGTTCAGCGATTACTGTACGTTCAAACAGCCATGGCTTTTGATTGCAGGTTAAATAAATGGCAAGGCCTTTCTCTGGACAAGAGAGGTTTTGGAAAGGACAGATCTGAAACAGAGCAGGGGTTCCACCCCTTCTGGAAGGGAACACTGTGGCAGGACACCAGGTAACACATAAATGCTAACATCATCTGTGTGGCTTTCAGATGACCAATACATTTTCTAGGCAGATGCCCCATTGAAGACTCATGAAATGTTGTATATTTATGGAGACACAGCAACCATGTCGAACACAGAAGCCAGATGTCAGTCTCAGGCCCAGGTGTGGTTAATGAGGTAAGGCACAGAGCTGTGTGCTGCATCAGGGCAGGATGTGTCCCTGTGTTACTGCGGGGGGAGCATCTTGTACCAGGTACACACTACTGATGCTCTGCAATGACAGGACACTCCAGTACCATCTTGTCCTTCACCACTGACGAGCTGGGGCCTTCTGGGCAGGCTCTGCCCGGCATGTTCTCATAGGTGACCCTGTTTTACAGAGAAGCCGAGGCAGTGAATTCAGAGAGGCTGCTGGAAAGCCATGGCAGAAGTCTCAGGGTGTGGCTGTGGCTGTAGCACAAAGATTTAAACTGCATCCCATGCAGGCAGGATAAAGCTCTTTTTCTTCTCAGCCGTGACAGAGATAGATAGCTTGATGAATCTGAGCTATATCTAGTCGGTACCTGGCTCCTTATGTTGCAAGGTGATTTTCTGCCATTTTACAGGCAAGCCTAGTCAGTACCTGGGGCTTTTCTGTGGTGAGAAAGGTCATGAAAAAGGCAGTGCCTTCTCTGCCTTGTTCTTGCCTCTCTGAGAACCTCAGGACATGGGCAGTTGTGCTCCTCTGTGACAAGCACCCAGTGGGTAAGGAGTAGTGGTGCTGCTTCAACCCCCGACCCCACACATGTGTGTAAGGCTTTAGGTTCTCTTCTTGCCCAGCTCAGCACTGCAGTGCCACTATCTAGGCTGGACTTGGATGAGACCAAGATGATGATCACATGCGGGGAAAACCACCAGAAGTGACAGCAAAATTAATAGCCAACCTCTGGCTGTTGTACAAATGAAGAGCATTTGCCATTAATAAAGAGGACCCCAAACTTTGGGGGGAGCTAGCCTTCAGTCTGACAATGATGTGGAAGCAGTGAACCAGTCAGCATTTAGCCATCTGTGTCTGTGGAGGAGGTTGCAATCTCTCCTTTCGCTGGGCGCTGAGCTTTTGTTCGTGTTTTTGCCGCTCCATGAGCAGAGTAGTTTAGTACAAGATGAAGCTCTGCCTTACATCATCTGGAGGCTGGAGCTGATGGAGGAAACAGCCCTTAGCATCCAAGGAGCACGGCACCTCACTGAAAACACCAGAGCCTCAGGGACCGCGGCAGCATGGCAGTCACAGGGAGCCTGGCACTTGTCTGCCTGCAGGTCCACCCTCTGCTCCTGCCAAAGTGCCACATCTGCAGTCAATAAGGGCCCACAAGCTGGCTCCTCCTCATTAGAGGAGAGAGGGCAGCTGGCAGGGGATCCTCCAAGGGCTCTCAGGCACGGGAATCAGTCCCCTCCCAGTCTGGAATAGCCCAAATTTGGTGACTTTCTGGGCATGCAGTAAAGGACAGCTGTTTGACAGGGTCTCCAGAGAAAGCTGTGGGTATGTTTCCTACATGATGAAGGATATAGGTGGCTGGCCAAGTGCCCACAGACCTGATTTTAATGCTGTTCAGGTTGAATTTACTTTTCTGTGCTGTATAGTTCATTATACACAGTGTCCTGGACAAGTATGTGTTGTTTTAAAACAAAACCATACCAATTTAAATCCAAACAAACAAGAAAGGAGAAAAACATGTGTGTTGCAAAAGACTCTTTGGGTTGCTTAGAGGGCCTTCTCAATGCTGAAAGGCTTCTCAAGCACCGTGCGACGAAAGCACTGCCTGTGTTTATCTAACAAATAAGACTTCCGTTATTTTTATTGGCAATAAATATTTGAATATTGAGCTGTAACCAAAATAGAGACATCAGCTTCACCGTGTATGGAGCACTGACCCAGAAAAAGATTTGCAATAGTATTAAGCACCCAGATGATCTCAGGAGAAGTGACCAACAGACAGTTGAGTACGCAACATAACCCAAAAGATGATCAGCAAGAAAGATCACACACAAAAACTCACTGAGAAAATGCAGAAGAGCTGCTTCCTAAAGCTGATGGAGTTTAATACCAACTGATTGTCATTTCAATACGAAGCCTCCAACCACATTTCAGGTGTTACAGATGAGATTGTAAATCTCTGAAAAGTCATTACTAAGTGACCTCAAGTGTTGTACAATGCTCGAGAAGTCCTTCTACCTTACATGAGTTTGGGGATATTTATTTAAACAGGATAACTGTGGGGCACACCCCACACAGGTACTGCTTTTTTGCTAAACGAACGTCACTGCAATCCCAGAACTGAATCTGGACATTTTGGCAGACAAAGACAGCGTATCTTTTGCTACATTACTTAAATACTTAAGATATTTGGCAAAAATACAGAAGTGACACAGTACAGAAACATTCGCAGCTGCAGGAGCAATAAAACCACTACAGCATTTTCGTTAGGCTGACCTTTTCTCACAAGAAGTTACAAGATTTTGATAATAGATCACCTTCTATACAGCATTCAGTGTATTCTGATAATAAAACTCAGCAATACTTTTCTCGGGCTCCTGAAAGCCGTGGCTTACCTGGCTCCACTTCATGCCATCCACTTGACTGGCTGCCACTTCCTGGAGAGCGCCCTTGGCTTGTATAGAACGGCTCCTCACCAGGACTGTCCATCTCATCCTCCACAGATTTGATACGTTTTGTAGAGCTGAAAAAGTAAAAATGCGTAATAAAGACTATGCACGTGGGAAGGAACAAAGGCGCTTCTTTTGGGACTTGCTAGCACTGCTTGAGCCTGAGCTGCTTTGGAAAAGACAGCAGACTGAGGACCCTGAGAAGAGGGAGGTATGAGTCCTGCACAGCCACCCAGCCTCCAACCATCCACTTTTTGTTTCTGATTTACTTTATTTTCAGTAGCTATGCTTCGATGTGAGACAAACAACCTCTCATGGGGTTAAACTGAGCCCCTGAACCTGTGCTAATTTAACAGCTTAAGAGACAGTTTGCCATCTAGGCTATTATAGGTCAAAAAGTAGGACATTCTTCAAAGAACACAGAGGTCAGTAAAAGAATTTAATTTCTATTGCATTATTTTTGCAATTGGAATGAATATGTTAGTGACACGCAAGTCGTTTTAATTGTCAGATTTTCTGAACAGCTTATTCTGAAACACACATTACAGGTTCCTCCAAACTTATATTTTCAATTTTTTAACTGTAGCTGTTTAATTAACCCAGATTTCGGTCCCCTAAGAAGTGTAGATGAGTAAAAGATGGACGAATCCATTAGTGATTCACGTGCTCACATTATCATACAAGCGTAAGCATTTTTCTCCCTAAGTGTTTGCCACCAAGCATAAAAAGCCCCAGTAGGTAATTCTGACCAGTACTGACCTTTGTCAGACATCACACCTCCCTTCCCCTTGGCTCAGGGGACAGAAGAGCCCTTTCAGTGGTTTCTGGTGGTCGCTGACTCAGACTCAGCAGTTTGGTGGGGAGAGGATCCCAAAGCCAAAGACACTGAGGTTGGCTCTATTTGCTGTAATGACTTGTACAGACTGCGTGGGGACATTACTGAGAATTTCTCTTTTAAGTGCTTTTCCAAGGCTGTGTCAGCTCACTTTTTACCCCGAATCTGTATTCCATTAAGATTTAAAGCATTCAAGAACAGGCTCCTTTCTATGGAGGGAACATATTTAAAAGGCATAAAATCTTCCTATTTCTACTGGTCTAAAACATGCAGCCTCTGCACAGCTCTTCACCCCAAGCTCTGCACAGGTACAAGAAAGCAGTTTGTGAGTAACAGGAAGGAGGATTCTTGTGGTATGCACGGAATGTAGGTTTGGCCATTCCTTAATATAGAGAATTGTTATGTGTCAATAGGGGAAACTGTGTGCGTACAATATAATTACCGCCTGATAATTCCTCTGAGTCTGTGTATTTAAGAAATACATTTTTTTTCTTACTGGGAACAGCCTAATGAGAGGAAAACAAACATATTACCAAGTTATTAACTACCCATGCTGTTTATAATTAGGTCCTTATCACTGCTAGCTATTTGCAGAAGAACAGAAGAGCAAGAACGGAGCTCTTAAGTAACGCTAATAACCCCACATCTTTGTTTGGGAGTCACAATCAAACCCTACCTGAGAACCTATGATGTGCTGGTGATGAGCGCTGAACATAGGGTGGGTGCAGAGTTTAGATGCAAAGAAGAAAGAGAATTAAGTTTTTAACTGATGTGTAATGGAAATTGCAGTCGCCAAGCTTCCTAATGTACACTAAGTGCAAGATGGAAAATATTCTTGCCATTGCTTCCAGCTCTAAGAAACTACGGCTAAGAGCATCCCTCCAAAGCTTCTCTTTTTAGAAAACAAAAACAACAGCTATATTCAAACTATAGAGCCTTTCTACATGTGTACTTGCTTACTGCAAAGCTGGTGGCACTGCAGACTGAGATAAAAATGTAAAACAACCCTGGGCTGGAGTTAGACTTTCTTGTCATGTCTTTGAAATAAGTGATCTGTTTTGGCTGTGGGGGAAAAAAAATCAATCTGGTTCTTTAATAGTGTTCAAGACTACTAGAGTGACTGAGCTTGTTTATAAATCTAATCTCATGGATGGTTAAAGTAAAAGGATAGGGTAAAAAATAAAAAATATCCTTGTCTGGTAGGTGGCATCTAAGCCAAAACCCCAGTGAGACTCGGCAGTCATCGGCATTAACAATTCACAGTTTTCAAATAATTGAGCCACGAGTTTCTAAATGCAATTTGAAAATCTGAACACATTATAGAGTAAGGCCCTAAAACCTATGTTGGTTTCAGAGATAACACTTTAAGATCAAGGATGCACAAAAGTCTATCTTAAGGCTATCCAGCCAGGACAAAGTGACAGGTCTCAATATGCTCCCAATTCTCTTGTGCCACCAGTAAAACTTCAACAATTCCAGTAGAACTGCTCCTGATACACCAACACAGGAGGCAGAGGTTACACAGGGCAACGCAACTGATTTCCTTCACAGCCTGTATACACAAAAAGAATTTTAGCAGCAATCCAGTTGAACGTTCAGCTCTGTGAATCTGAAGCAGCTTCCCATCCTGAGGCCCCCAAACAACTTGTCAAATAATTAATGGTTACTTTTCCAGATGAGTAATGAGGTTTGCTTGGGTTTCCAAGTAACTCGGCAGTAGGCAGAGATTAAATTACCTGGTAGAGGATGTGCTAGGTAAAGACCTCCTCATTGCTCCTGGGCTCATGCTGTAGTATGAAGAACTTTCCAAATCTGAGAGGGAGAAATTAGGGCCTGTTCCTGCAGCTATTGGTGCTGGGAAAACAAAAGAGAGCACAGTCAGTAACTCAAGTGAATATGGCATGAATTGCACTTCAAAATCATTTTCTTCTTACTCGTGTGTGTGTTTATTTTCACAATGAGAACAGGTGGGATGTGGAAATTAAGAAATGCTAATGGAAACTGGCATTGCAATCAAGAAAATGTAAATTTTATCCAGAATACAATGTTCCATGACACAGACTCTTTCTTACACTCCTCCAGTGATAGCCTTTCTTTAAAAAAACCCCAAACAATTATGACAGCACTTCTATTCAGCTTCTTTAAGCACTACTTCTCTATTAATGTAATTCCAACATTTAATGAAACTCATTGCTTTTGTTTTAGGACAATGGTGCATGTATTAGTACAGTTACAAATAGGCTGCATCATCCCTGTAGTGTACTTGTCATAATCTGTAAGCAGTGCAGGCAGGGAAATACACACCTCAGGACCTCTGGTGTGTACATGATGCACATCCCCAAGCACAGAGGTTACAAATCTCCCCGGAGAAAGCACCAATGCAGATGAGAAACCCAAGTCCTCTTCCGAATGTGAGCAGCTGAGTTTTGCTCTGGTCTCTCCTCCAGCAAAATCAAAGCTAGAGACATTTGTCTCAAAAGAAACATTATCTGGTGACTACCTTCCACTGTTCACCTCTCACTAAGCTACCCAGCACCTAAGTTTTATTGTAAGGGATATGAAAGCCTTTCATTTCCACGTCCTAGAGCCTTGGTTTTCCATTAAAATATTACGAGCTCCAACACACTCTAATGTTTTCAAGCATGAGCCTATGAACCCCACGTGCCACAATCTTCTGGGAACAGAGGAGTCTAATGTTCAAGCCAATGGATAATGCATTTCACAAAAAAATGCAGCTATGCGGCATGTGGTCCCATAGCCTCCATTGCTGTCCCATCACTATTTGCAGGACAAAGCAACTTGGGAAGCCGACAATTACAGATCACGATTTTCTCTCACATTTCAGAGACATCTGAAAAAGGACATACCGCACAATAAAAAGCACAAGTTTGGCCTGGAACGTATTGTCTGAGAGCCCCGATTCACAGCAACAAAGGCGAAGCAGTCTCAATGCCACACAAAGATGCTGAGCCAAGTTTAATCTTTGGTCTGAGAACCTGGCCCATTTTCAAAGGCGAAAAAATCTTTCACTCCGACGGGGCAGGAGTGAGGAAATGAAGACAGGATAGCTCGTATCGCCCAGCAAACATGTCTGGGCTGAGACGCAGGCCTTCTGGGAGTGCTGCCATTGACTGTAATGGGGCCAGTATTTCACCCCAAGACTTAAGGAGCTCACAATGTCAGATTTGACAGAGGAATAATGTAGCTTTGCAGCTGCCTCATCATCCCCACAAGACAATTAGTTGTTGTTTGGCAAGGATCTTTTAAGAACGTCATTGAGACAGAAAGGGAACAGCCTGGATAGCCTCGGACTTTTAGAAGCATGAGATGGAAAATACACAACGCTATTAAAACTTGAAAAAATCTGGAATGACCATTAAAAGGAACGAAGTTGGGAAGTAATTTATGACAAGAACACTCGAACCCTTTGTTATCTTTCCTTAAGTATCACACGCTTCCCGTACACCGTATATGAGAGGGTGTGTTAACAAAAAAGAAAGAAAAATTAAGTGCAGTAAAATTAACTCATTTTATCAATTTGTGCTTTCTGCAACAGTTTCCTGACAGCAGCTACAAGAGGCTGTAAAACTGATGAATTTGCATGGAAAAAGAAACCAGTGTAAGTAATTTGTGTAAAAGGTAACACGGACATGGACTGCTATAATTCAGACACCCTGCAGATAGCAGACTGCTGCAGTGTGAGCAGTTATGGGTTAGAAAAATGACCACACTGCAGTCAGTCTGACTTGAACGGAAATCAATCATAAAGGTACTCTCTGCAGCATCTACTCCACAGTTTTCAGCAACTTCCTTGCCAAACAGATTTCTGCTCTGCAAACACTTCGCTGCTCGGTTCCTCTGCACCCTCTGCCTACCAAAGCCCAAATTCCAAGTTAAGCAGACTTTATTTTCCAAATGGAAGAAGGGAAGCACCAAATCAAGGTGCTGTCCTTTTTTTTTTTTTTTTTTTTTCAAAGGCACAGTGACATTCCTAACCACTGCAAGACTTCAGGCAGCTGTATTCCAAATAGATACAGAGGTAAAAATGCCATCTGCATAATGCTTCTGTGCTTCTTCTCACCTCCCTCTGTTATCCCTCTCTCCCCAAATCCTGGACATCTCTGCTGAACCTCTTGCTCTAAAGGGAAGAGACATGTACCTCCAGAGGAGCTGCGGGGTAGAACCAGAGTGTTGCTAACGCACAAAGTAGCAAATATGAGGAAGGATGCTTTCTTTATCAAGGGCTGAATGCTGCCTCATGCAAGAGCCTGCGTGCAACCTGAGGGTTACAAAACAAACCCCACCTCTGTCCCACAGCAGCAGAGCTCCTCTGCAGAGGTTTTAGTGCTGGAGGGCTGAGGGCTGAAAGCTGTGAGCTCTGTGTCTCGGCTTCAGCCCTGGAGCTGGGCAGCACCTCAGTCCTCCCGCACTGCACTTCAGCAGCATGGCCGCTCTGCTCACTGCTGCACTGCCACTCAAAACGCGCTGCCTTCCGTCCTAACAAGCAGTACAGCAGCCTCCTGATAGCTCAGGAACATCTCCCAAACAGGAAAAGATGTCAGAAGTCTCAGTCGCGAGTCCAAACAATGCTCTCCACCTCCATGCCTGACCCAGGGCCACGGCCTGGCGGGGCTGCAGGAGGAAGGACCCCTTTTCCCTTTGCACCACCGACGTGTGCAGAGCTGGGAGCCTGCCGGCCCCACAGGAAGGCCCTGTGTCAGGGCAGGCCCGGCTCGCCCCATAGGGCGGTTTGTGGGGGCTCCGCAGTGGCCGATCCCAGTCCCAGGCTGCCGTTCCCCCCTGCTGCCAGCCCTTCCCTCGCTGCCAGCTTGTTAGCTCAGATCTTCGCCCGAAACGTCAAGAAAAATAACAGAGAAATTAACAAAAAGCCCTCTGACTTAACTCAATTGGGATATTTATTTTGAAAAATTTATTAAATTAGAGAACAGGAAACCCACTAAATAAAACCAGCCAGGCTGGCATTTGTCTTCCTTGGAACATGGCACTCTCTTTTAGTCATGTTAATATTTAGCTTCTCTTTTTTCCATCTTTACGTATTTATTTTTATGAGGGGCTGGGATATGACTAAGATCATTACACGTGTAACACTGCAGCGAGGTGATAATGTGTTTAAGGTTAAATGGGAGAAACATGACATTTGACTAATAAACTTTTTCCTGTGTTGTGACTCCATAAACAAAGGGAAACACGGTGCTGCTGATGCAGAGAGGAAAGGGGATCTGTTTTCCCTTTTTTTTTGTGCAAGGCATTGTCTCCTACACACCGTGCCATTAGATACAAAGAGGCTGCGCTGAATACAACAGATATGAAATGTGTGATGTTCATTTTAAAATTACAAGTACAGCCCGCTATTGACCATCTAATTATGCTGAGTTCCATTTATAAACATAGCTAACCACTAAGTTTATAGAGACTTTTTGTGCTGCTTTAATAGGATATTGATCGAGAGCAAGGTTTGAGTGGACTGCCATTGAATTGTGTAATGGCATACAAAAGGCAAGGTCACGGCAACTGTTCGCTCTATGCCTGCAGTCTATTTTTTATTATAATCTTTTTTTCTTCCTCTCATAGCCAAGCCCAAATAGAATATTTGGGATAGCAGCGCTTTGCTAAGGAATACAGAATATCTTTTTTAAATGTTAATTTTCGTGTTGCTGACTTCTTTAACAACCTTCACTAGTGCAATGCTTAGCATAGCAGAAAGCATACAGGCTGCAGTTGGGAGAGAGCTGCTTTACGATGCCGTGGCTTTCCCTCACGCGCTCAGCACTGAGATCTCTGCACAGGAAAGTTTCTCCCCTCCCAGGCTGTGGGAAGGCAGCAGTGTCCTCACAGCCCTTCGCAGCCTTGCCTGGCCCAGACCCCGCACCTCGTGGTGGGGCTGGCAGAACATTCCCCACAATTTGTTTTGGCTGTGCCTGGCCTCTCGACGAGAGGTGGGAGGAAGTCGTGTTTCCTCCGCTGCACCCACGCTCAGTGCTGGGAGTGGCAGCAATTACTTTCACTTCTCGCATGCGTGTGCCCGTGTGGCAGTGAGACCAGCTTCAGCCCCCGCCAGCAGCACCCAGCCAGGGAGCTCGCTGCCTCCTGCTGCCTGCCAGGGCCTGGCTCAGCGCTCCGCGAATGCTCGGCTCTGCTGCAGCAGCCGCTAACCACAGCACGGCTGCCTCGAGCCTGGCACTCGCTGCGCCAGCAGCCTCGCTGCTGCAGGATCCCCGGATCCTCAAAATGCCCCTGCCACAAAATCACCTCTTACCTGCGGAATTAGCATAACCTCCAAGGATAATTAGCAGAACCATTTCTGTGTTTATACAGAAGTGGTAAGCAACTTGCATGTACGATTGCGTGCTTGTGGTTTCCCTGGCTCATGACAGGGAGTAGGAGTCACCCCACTTGCTCTGTGCAGCTCCTCACTGCTCGCAGCTAACGCCTTAAAACTCAAAGCGTGGCATTTTCAGTCCAGGGTGCAGTTAGAATTCCCTTGTTTATCAGCATGAGGAATGATGTCATTTTGACAAATAACACAGCACAAAACAAATATGTTTCATTTGGCTCTAGCGAATGTTCATAAATCCTAAATCTTTCTTCACATCCTGGGCAGCGCAGTTTATCTGGCTGCCTGAAGGACCTCCAAGGGAGGAGATCTTCCCAGCAGCTCTCTGCACAAGAGCACATAGTGCAGACTCAGTCTAACCGGGACTAACCCTGCCCCGGCCCCCCAGCCTCTGCCAAGCATGGGCTCCCACCCAACGGGACCATAAGCCAATAGCAGCAACCAAGTTCCCAGTCGGCACCTCTCACAGAGGGCCTTTCCATGCAGGTATTTTCCTATGTAGGGCACACAGGGTTTGCTTGGTCGACAACGGGCGGCTGAGTCCACACAGATGAACATCTTCAACTCTTCTGTTTCTGAGAATGTTGGTGTCAGCCTCTCTAGAGATGGGAGAACGAATTTCTCCATTATATGAAGTGTATCTGGGGTGGACTGACAACACCTCCAAAGCTGCTCACACCTTCTGTCTGCTAATAATGTAAGAGAGCTGACAGCTTGGTCTGCAACATCCACAGCAGATCGGATGGAGAGAGAACAAGCTGCTTTTCAGATGAACATGAATGATCTACTTTCTCTGTTCTATCGGGCTCTGCAAGATTCAGTAGCTGGATATCATGTCGAAAGAAAATCTCCAGCTCCAGGACTGAAGAAAGCAGGCTTCTGTTACCAAAGCAGTCTAGACTGGTTCAATAGCTCACAGAAAGTGTGACGATCAGCACTGATGGATAAGATAGACAATGGTAACAGCTGACCTTTCACTTGATTAATTAATTCCCCAGATTTGCATGACTGAGACAACTGCCTACTACTTGAGACTCCATGCCATGCTCAACTCTGAGAACTCACTAAATAAACCTGGTGCATAAATTGCTGCCAATAATATTTCCCAAGAGAAACTTTAGATAGCAGCAGCAAGCCACAGGCCAGTTAAAACCATGAGAAATCACATGTTTCTATCATTATATTATCGAAAGCAAGCATGGAAAGAATAATGTCAGGCACGCACCTCTGGAAAGCAAAGGAGGAGCAGACAAGAAGACAGCAGAGGCTAAACATGAGGGCTGCTATGGACAGGCAGGTTTGTTGCTTCCCTAGCCAAGATGGTTTTAAAGATGCAAGGACTTCTTCAAAGTAAAAGCCAAGGGAATGGACTGAGGACGTTCCGATTTCTCAAACTACAGGTTTAATAGCTGCCGGTGGGTCTGGATAATGGCTGCTCATAAGCTGAGCTCCCCAGCATGACTCATGAACTGGTCTCAAATGAAGACATGGGAATACATAAACCACCCAGCAAGAGTTATATTGAAAAGCACACTCTTTAAAAGCCCTTACATGCCAATTTAGGCAAATATGCAGCAATTACTTTGTTGCTCCATTATGTTAAATTATTCTTTGAATATCAGCATGCAAATTCATACTGACTTCGTTGGGAATTTGTTGCTAGACTCTACAACTAAACATATCCTACTGGGTAGCCATGGTATGTCAGTCTGTGGACTTCTCAGACCTCACAAAGTAAACAAGGCTGGTCAGTACATGTCTGGGGCATCTCCAAGGAAAATCCAGGGTGCTATCAAAAGCAGTGCAGCTAAATCAGTTGCTGGCATTCTTCCCTCCGAGTCAGTTCTGAAGTGCTATCCCGATATGCTTTAGGGACACTATTTTTGGTAGAGGTGCTGGCTTGTGGACAGGGTATAAGACAGAGGCCTTGACCTCCCAGGATTATTGAAGAGCCCACGAAAAAGAGTGCAAACCCCCATTCCTGGGGCAGACAAGAGCTCATCTTTTTATTTTGACTACCATCACCCCTTTTTATTTTAGAGGAAGCTCGTGCCTGCCCTGCTCTTTCTGTGTGCAGTTGCCCAGTGCGTTGGAGGTGGTACATTTCAATGGAAAGCAGAGGGAATGTCTCAGACACAGTTCATACTTTGTTTGCAAAAGATGTTGAATGCTAGGATTTTTGATGCATGATGTTTTAGTTTAGTTACAATAAAATATCTTGGAAAACTAATAAGCAGGAAACATGACTCTCGTGAGGTCAGTGCCAAACTCGCTGGGGGGCTGGGATGGCTGTAAGTCCTGAAGCAGTGCACTTTTCTAGCAGCCCTGTCCTCTGTACACATGAAGCACGGCTGACAGAGTCCAGAGGCAGTTCTGTTGTGTAGTGCCCCTACGGTGAAGATAAGATTGTGGTGAAGTGGGATGCCTTGCAGGGGGGGAGGAAGAATCCTTTGGGCTTCAAAAGCCTTGTGTTGTCACACTGGAGTAATGTGACACGACAGGAAGGCATTCAAAGACTGGAGAGAACATGGCTTTGTCCACCATGGCTGCAGGTACCAGCAAGGTAGTGCATATAGTGCAGCAAGTTAGATGTCAAAGCCCCCCTTTTGAGCACTTCAGCAAGTGAACTATTTACAAACTTCTGAGTCCTCCCGACTTCGTTCTTCCAACAAAACTCCCACCAGTTCTCAGGGAAGGGAACTCAGAAGAAATAACTGCTTCACATTTTACTCGCTCTCTCTCTCCTGTCCATATACCTCTCACACCCACATATCTCCCACTGTTCATGCTTTTCTTGCAGCTTCCTATTTCTGACTACAAAGCCAGTTTACAAGGGAGTGCAAGCCTTTCCAAAAGAGGAAATAAAACAGGAAAATCCTTACAGAAACTCAGTGTTCTGAGTCAAAACCACAGCTTCTTTGCTGGGGTTGTGCCAGTTAGTTTTCAGCGTTCAGAGCTGTATATTCAACTATTCCTGCTATCTAGGAGAATCATTTTTATCACTGGCTGTACTGAATGGATTGGTTACAAACCTAAGGTAAGAAAGGGACATGCAATTGAGTGGCTTTCCTAGAGCAGTGGCAATTGTGGGAATGTAAACTCCAGCATGGCTGCAGAGAAGATCCCCAGAGGACTGGTACCCACAGCCCTGCTTCAGCTGCAGTCTCCCTGCAAGAGGTTGTCCATGTTCTCTCCTTGGACTGTCTGGATTATGTCATAGCAAAATACAATCAATGCGCCTTTGATCAATGGAACAAGGTGGTGACAGGTACTCTTAATTCACTGTTGTTAGTGGGTATCGACAAGCCTGTAATGATCATGCTGCAGTGTGTCATTCATGCTGGGGGCATTAGCATTCTTTAAAGGTCAAAAAACAAACCCTTCTACAAGGCAGAATTCCATACAGTTAAGGGAAAAGGCGGGCCTTGGGAACTTAAAGAACTATGCCCCCAAGCAACTGAAATCCCAGATCTTCAGATGGTACAGTTGTTGGCATTACTTACAAGTTCATTAATTCCCAGGTGTACAGGACACATGGAATTGATGAACACAGGTGGCATGGAAAATTCCTGGCTGAAGCACACTAATGATCAGGTTTGGTGAAAGCAGAGTCTTTGGATCCCCTAGGAGGCCCACCAGCAAGCTGACCTCTGCAGCCATATCTCTGCACTCTTACACAGAGGCCGCCCATTTTCATCTGAGTACCAGATAAGCTTATCAACTCGCACATGCAAGTTTGCAGCACTTCTTTTTTTTTTTTTCAATTTACTTCTTCATCTATAAGCTTTTATTTTCCCACATTAAAAGATATAGCACATAAACAGCGTCCCCCAGAGAGAAGCAGGGAGAAGGGACTCCCAGTTTTTGACACTGTTTCTGAATTGGGGAAGGGACATGATAAAGAACCAGAGAAGAAAACTGGGATTGCAGAAACCACACCACACAGCCACCAGATGATACTTACTTTGTGAGACTCTTACTAGCTCGGTCACACTGAAAACACCTGATGTGACAAAACTGTCCTGGAAGCCCAAATGTCCTACAAAACAAACAGAGTGAGAGAACTGCGATTAGCTTCAAGCATTTAATGACAGTATTCTCAAATACTTTGCTTGCATTTACACTTAAAATGTGACATCTAATTTCCCACTTAGCAGTAATTATTGTTTATGTAGGTGGGTAACTAGTCATACAGCTACGTAGGCTGCTTTGTGGTTTCTATCTAGAGGTTAGGAAAGCTAACATGACACATCAGCAGGGAGATTTTTACATGCTAAAGCATCTCAACAGGAAATCTGAAACAAAAGAGGACTATTTTAATAAACGGTTACCTCGGATGACCCCTAATGACTTCACAATAGAATTGAAAATACTGTACCTAGGAAACAGACAGGACAGCTAAGTTCCATAATCGTTTTAAACATTATTCTCTAAAGAAACATCTGATCAGGATTATCTACCCATTCATTCAAACAAAACAAGATTTAAAGATGTACTCTTCATTTTCTGAGGTTACACTGGGGAAATCTTAAAAAAGAGGCTGGTGAAAAAAATTAAACGAGTGCCTTCCTGTCAAGAAAACCCAACATTTAAAACAGGCTTTCATTAAAAAAAAAAAAAAAAAAAAGAAAAAAAAAGAGGAAAACAAATCTCTGCCTAGGAAAAGCATTAAGCTGAAACTCGGGACTGCCTTCAGGAACCGGGGTGCACCCATCCACGCTCGCCCCCCCTGTGCAAGGAATGCTTCTCCGTTCGGTATCAAAATGTTATTACACTTTGCATAACACTATTTTCCTTTTTCTCTGAAAACATGTCTACCACCAAATGTTCATTTAATTTTCACGGCTATGATCAATGACAAAAGGAGCAGCTTCCAGGCTGCTGCCCAGGGTAGGCGTGTGAGTGGGCTGCGGTGGCTCACGTGGGGCGTCGCTGGACCTCGATGAGAGGCTGTGGCAGGGCCAGGCTGACCTCCTGCTTTTGAAATCAGGGTCAGAGGAGAAATCACAGGATAAAGAGATTATTAAAAGGACTGTAAAGTCCTGCTTGCCCGCGGGATAAGTGGCATACCTTTTAAGGTTGTCCTACTTAGAGTCACTGATTCCACAACAAGCACACATATATTATTGAATGTTTTGCAGGGGCACCATCTGCTCCATTGTTAATTGTTTGTCAGATGCAGCAGGATTTCCCTACGTTCAGTACATCGCGCCGTGCAGCGATACCTGCCCACCTCCTCAGACCAACCCGAGCCGTGGCACTAATGCTGGTTTGCTCTTTGCTTTTCTTTTGGGGTTGTTTCCAAAGAAGCACATCTCACTGCCATTTCCTCTTGCAGAACGTGAAGCACGAGGAAGGCACTTTGCATGTGGGACTGCAGAGGGTGATGGGCTGGGGTCAGGAAGAGGCTCAGGAAGGCCCTGGGGAGGTCAGCAGCTCTCCCAGCCCCCAGTAAATCTGCACCCTGGCAGACAGACCCTGCCCTGCTTCCGAGTGGCTCCTCGGTGCCAGCTGAACGCAGTTGCTAAGCTAACAGACTTAAGACAAGTTTCTGCATCAGGCGCATTTTTATACTTCAGCAATAATGATGAGTTCTCAGACTGTGTATATGTATATCTCTGGGCATCCTTGTGTATGTGTATATACATATGTATTATGTACACAAACATATAAATATACACAAATCTGTCATGCTCCAGCTGTAGATAAATGTACTATAAAATATTGAAATTGATGCCGAAATTCAACACAAACAAATTCCTCAATCTGCAAACAAGGTTTTTATTTACAGCAAGAGAATAAATTTTTTCCCTACTTCAAATGAGAAAATGCTCCTACAAGTTTTTATTTTTCCTTATTTTCCACTTAGAAAGAGCTCTCGGATAATTGTAAATGCCTTTGCCTCATCTGCTTTGTATTTTGCTGCAATAAAGGTGATGACTACATCATTCTGCTTTTTAGAGACGGTTGCTGGCCCTACACAATGTTTGCTCATTGACAATTTCCCGAGTATTTTTAATATGAAGACCTACTTTTCATATGCTGCAGCAGACCTGCCTATTGAATTAAATGATCTGTGAATTAAAAATAATTCTCTTAGGTCTTCACTGAAACCACTCATGTGCCTAAAATTAAGCATATGCTTAAGTGCCTTGCTGGATGGGGGCCAGGACGCTTACTACTCCGCAGAGCCCTTCGCAGGGAAGCCAGTCTATGCTATGTAACTTCTCACACTGTGCTCATCATGACGGTATCTGAGCAACTTCCAGAAGTGCATTCAGCAGTACTACGAACATCTGTCACGTGTTGTTTTTTGCACCATGTACCATACTGGCCCTGCTCCGGTGTCCACTTTCAGCTGCATCTCCCAGGCAGGTTCCTAGCACACGACGAGTGAAGGTGAGATTTAAATAGGTAGAAATAAATCCCAGCTACGATAAGTCCGCTGGCTTATTTTTAAAGGGAAAGCCCAGAGCCCTTTGTAATTGTGCAGTGAAAACTGTGGCATGGCTACCCCCACCACCTGAATTTAGCAAGCCCAGGCAAAACCAGACGTGAAAATGCAGCAGAACGGCTTTCAATACACTCCACCTCTCAGGGCCCCCCTGTGTATGAGAAAAATTGATTAAGTTAGCTTGGACCTGGTAACTCCTATTATTCATAACATCTGATTTTGCTGAGTATACCAAAAATGTCTGCTTATTTCTGTAGGAACATTTCTTATGTGCGCTCACGCAATAGCAATCATTAAACAACAGCAGCTAACTAGAGTGGTTAGATTTTCATCCGTCAGTGCTGAAAATAAACATTTCACAAATGAAAGGTGAATTTCACAATTCTGCCACTTGCTGTTTACTTATAAACATTAGGAAATCAGGGACTCATTTTGCCAATCATTTATAATGCCTTGGTACCCACAGAAGCGATGCCCTTGGTTAAGAGCTGTGTCTTGAACTCATTCTGATGGATGGTTGCTCTCTGAATTTGCAGTTCGGTAGAACTCCATGAAAGTTTAAAGATTTGTCTGTATGGCTCAGATTGCAAAATCCAGGCCTGAGACTGCAGGTTTTGCTGAGCAGAGATAACAGTGCAAGAAGAGAACGAGAGAATCGTGATAAAGAAGCTAGACAAGTCAAAGAAGAACGGCTAGGTGCTAGCAGGATTGACAAAATATGGAAAGAAAACATTCTGCACCTATTAACAAAGGTCAAAATGCAAATCCATATCAATTTGCTTGTGCTACTTCACTCTGAGTGAAAAAAATATAGGTAAAGTCAAGCAATTACATATGCAGATGTGAGCACTAAAGAGCTCCTTTACTGAAAAGATGATTAAACATCTTGAAAGCTTGCAAGATTTACTTCTCATACAGCACTTTACTGGAAAGTGTGCACGGTGATACTTTACTAAATATCCCAAAGATAGGATGTGGAAATTGCTGCATGTGATCTGGTTATCTCTACAGTTTTGTGTGGCAGTCACGTTTTGGTAGGAGAGCAGGTGTTCAAAATGAGGCTGAGAGAATTTTAACTCACGTTATAACAAACTACCAGAGCCCATTCACTGAAATTCTGGGTATAAATTAAGACACCTGGGTAGCCGAGGCAGCCCTGACTCAGCAAAGCAGCTGCAGCATGCGCTTCATTTTATTCCCGTGTTTGACTAAAGCACGAGCTTATCTGGGCTGACAAAGAAAGATGGGCTGACAAAGCCAGGCGGGTACTTTAGGATATCGTTGAATCTTTGCTTTCAACTCTAGTCTTGTCCCGCAGGAGTTACGTCATCACACAAGACCTCACTTTGGCTCCTGAGGATGGGTTTTTTCTTTTGCCCAAGAAAAAGCCGGGGCAAAAAATCCAGTCCCCCAAGACCAAGCTGAGTCAAGCAGATCGGGATACCGGCTAACAGGCACACGGCACTACCCAAGAACACATTTGATATAGTGTACAAATACCATACAACACAGTCGTAGCAAGTAAAACATGAAAGCCATCTTTATACAGCTTGATGACTGCTTTAATTGGGAAGAAAATTCATAATGCGATTTACATATTCTTTTAGATCCCAGTAAAAGAGCCAGAAGAAAAGGCTTGAATTGATGGAGCCTAATTCTGATCTCAAAGAAATTTTAAACAAGTCCTTCCACACTGATCAAATGAAGTTTCACCTAATTTTCTCCTAATTTACTCTGGCAGAGGAGACATCAGGATTAGGACTTGTTGTCTAATGCTATTTGTTTTGAATTATTAAGCAAACATTCCTATTTCAATGAGTAAACGTGTACAAAGGCAACTAACCTTCGTCCTAAAATCTAGTTTACAGGGAGAGTATTGTCTGCCTTCCCAATTAATGCTGCAAAAAGGAGTCTCAGACGTTGATCGACCAATCAAGAGCTTGTGTTATAGCTTGAGAAAATCATGACTGATGCAATTACTTTTATGTAGAAGGTCTGAATATGGTCTACAGGTTAAAGTTCGCTGCGTTATTGTTTCTTAATTGAATATCAGAAGATGTTTTCAAGGTGCTCAAGGTATTATTGTTATTTAATCAGCAGGTCTCTTTGTGTAATCCCACAATATTATTTTCATTACAAAACAGTCAGATGGCACCATAAATATGCAAGGTATTTTCTAAAGAGAGATACAGCTGGTTTCCAGAAACCCGAAATTAAAGAATAATGGGGAAAGGCTAAGCCTTGGAAAATGAAAAAGTCCAAATCCCGTCACTCCTCTTCCTCTACAGTCCAAAGAACAACGCACAAAGCTTTGGAGAACGGCTTTTTGGGAAAGCAATTCATTGTCAGTAGTTCGAAATTACACGACAAGTTCCCCAAACCAGCAGCAAAACAATTTCTAAAGCCTTTTTACGTTTGGCATCTCAAGATACGAAGCCATCTTAAAACCTTAAAATAGTAATAATCAATTAGAGACTCAAGCCTATTATCTTAACCAAATGCCTGATTAAAGGAAAAGCCCTCTCTGCTCAAAGTGCAACTCGATTCCTTTTGGTTTTATCCTCTATCTAGATAATCCCATGTTT